CGCTGACAACGGCCCGGAAAGGCCGCGCCGACACATCCGGGGGCGGGCCGGGGAAGGCGGCGGCGGCGGCGGCGCGCGGGATCCCGCGGCCGAGGCCGGGGTGGGTGCGCGCGGGCTACGAGCGGGCGGGATCCCGATCCCGATCCCTCTCCTCCTCCTCCGTGCGCGTTGCGTGACTTTGTTTCCCTTTGCTCCCGCGGCAGATGGCGAGTGGCGGCGAGCAGCGGGTAATCCAGTTAACGGGGTTTAAGAAGGCCGAGAAGAGGGCCCTGCTGGAGGCGCTGCGCGGGCTGGACTGCGCCGTGCTCGACACCAAGGTAGCAGGGCCCGCGGGAGCGGAGCGGAGCGGAGCGGAGCGGGCTGTGCGGGGCCGCAGGCTGCGGCCCGGACAGGTTAGCGCGCCCGGGGCTGAAAGCGCGTCCTAAAGACGTGTCCTGCCTTCTGTTCCTTTTGGTAGAAATACCGGCACTGTACGCATCTGATAGCAAAGCAGCTTTGCAGGAGTGAGAAGTTTCTAGCGGCCTGTGCTGCAGGTGAGTAAGGGATGCGCTGTGAAATGCCATCGAATCCGGGCGTGAACATAGGCAAGGAGCCTTACGAGTCTTCCAGGTTCTGCTTATTTCATAATCAGGCTCTTTTACCATCATTTATTCTCCTCGCTCCACTAGCCTGGATTATTACCAAAGCGCTACATGCAAATTTAGATTTACTTTGTTTTTCTTTGTGTCTGTTACTCCTAAATAATGTTCATGTCATCTTCCTGTACCTGTTCGGAACTGGTTCCCAAACAGAAGGCATTGTTACTTATCACTTGCATCATAAAATCATATTACAAGTGATTTAAGTGCTTAGAATTTGTGCTTGCACTTGCATACCATAGTATTAGGCATTTTCAGTTAGAGCTACTAAAAGTTGGAGATATATGGATGACTCCTTGTGCCCGATTAACTGTCATCAGAAGATAAATAGCCCAAAAGTTTACAGGAGAAAACACATTTTAGATGTAAAATTTATAATATCGAGTTAGCATATTTTGGGAGATCTAAAATTCCTGGAGATGTTTTCTTTGAACTGAGTGGAAATGACATACATATTGTCAACTTGACAATGTAAAAGTATGCCATGTTTCAGTATCCTTAAATACTCCTCAATACCAGCTAGTACTAGGCAATTCTGGATTTTTTTTTATATAATTGCCCTTGATGGTGGAGAGAAAGTGTTCATTCCTAATGCCTTTTTTTCCCCAGTATAACAATTTGTCTTTAATCTCTGTTAGTACTCTCCAAAAGTGGAAATAAACGCTAATAAAAACAATGGCCTTCAGGGACTTCTTAGCTCACTTCCTTTTTGAGATGGAACTCTTGAAATTAAAGTGGTTTTGGCATAAGGGTTATAGGCAGCATGCCTTTTCCAGTCAGAAGTACCTATGCAAGATTATGTAGAAGTACCATCTGTGCTCCTCTTCTGAGACATTTTGCCAGTCAACCCTGCTGTTCCGTGAAACCAATTAGGTTTACACAATTCCAGTCAATTTCTCTTGCAGTATCCTCTGTAGGTAGAGTTTCAATACAGGAGCAGGGTACTAACCACAGCCCTTGACCTGAATCTGAAGGAAGAGAGAGACGGCGGGAAAAAGGGGAAGATCATTATAGAGAGTATCAAAAGCAGACGTGCAGAAGAAGAAAGAAGAGAGGCGGAGAAGGTGGAGCCAAGGGAGGAGAGAAAAGGATGTGAAAAGAAGAAAGGGGAAAGACGAAAGTCTAAAACCATAGCCTCCTAATACTTGCATTCGCTTCGCCAGCAATTCTAGTAGCATTAACTATATATAAAAGAAAGGAATTCATTCCTCCTTTTAATGGTATTTAATTTTTACTTCAGTTTACTAAAACTAAAGCCTTTGTAAAAAAAAAAATAAAGAAGTGATTTGACAGCATTATTGTATGTAATGTAAGTACGTCAAGTGTACCTCAGATCTGCTCTAGTACATTTGTAAGAGTGTCAAATGGTATTAAAAGTAAAGTGTTAAGCAAGATTCTATGCAAGTCACAAGAATAAGATCTGGGAAGCTGCAAATTTCCATTTGCAGGTTTTTGAGAAGACAGGCGAGTATTTAATCTGGAAAGGGTAAAAAGGTACTTCATCATTAAAAGAAAACAAGATGATCATTTTCAGTGGCATTGTGATTTCTGATTTTAAAATGTGAAAAGGAGACCTCTTGCAGTAGGAAGGAGTTTTTAAAATGATACTTACAATTCCAGCTTTTATTTGCACAAGAAAGGTTGAAGTTAATTTTATATTAGATCTTCAGTTGATTGCCATTTGTCTACACAAAAAATTGTCTGTGGCTGACAGTTCATTTGCTTTTTAGGAAAGTGGATACTAACTAAGGAGTACATAATTAATAGTGCTGAAAGTGGCAGATGGCTTGATGAAACAACGTACGAATGGGGATATAAAATTGAAAAAGACACCCATTATTCACCTCAAATGCAATCTGCACCTAAAAGATGGCGCGAAGAACTGACACACACTCGTGCTCCAGGGGCCTTCCACAGATGGAAAGTTGTCCTCCTTGTTAAGGAAGGTGATAAACGAAGGGATCCTATTAAAAGGTAGGAGAACACGTCTTAAAGCTGAAGTAATGAAAGAAAAAACACTTAATTGAAAAAGTTTTTGTTTTTCCTTCCCACTTAATTTGATCCATAACAACCTCAGGTCTTCAGCATATGATTTATTTTTGTTAATATACTTTCACATATTTTTATAATAGTTTCCCTATTAAATGCACACTGACTCCTTTAAATCTTTAAAACCATTGGTTTTTTTTTTTTTTTTTAGTTTGCTTTCAGTGTTTGCTAGTGTCAAATATATCACACATTGTCATTTACTTGCATCTTCAGTAAATTGCATACAGAGACTTTCTTCATGAGACAAGATACATATGCTCGTGCTCTTTATGAATATTCTTTTGTTTTGTTTACTTGTTACCTGTGAATGGTAGCCAGAAGAGGAATCGTTATTTTGCTTCAGTGGGTGATGTGAGCTACCCATGAACTTTGTCTTGCTAATCTGTTCCACTTTCTGACTAACTTGATCTTTCTGTGCCACATCTGTGCAGCAGCTCCCTAGTTCTGAAGCCCTAATTTGTACTGTGACAAATCTTTGTTTATGATGTAAATATAGCTAGTTCAGAAGGGAAAGGGCAAAAACATAAAGGAAAATCTGGGAAAAGGAAAACAACTGGAAATACAAGAATCTGGGGACTACATTTGTTTTTTCCATACTCCCTGCACATTGGATTCTCCGAGTTAAGTACGGTGTAGAATCACAAGCAATGTCTTGGGTAAAGTTTGCTCTGGAAACAGAGCTCTCCATTACAAGATGTTGTTGCTTATTACAGGAAAAGATATTATCCACTTCTGCTCAGCTGAAAACCCAGCGAGCTGGGAGCACTTCTCCTGTCTGGGTGTGTGCACATCTCTACTGGACATGAGAATCAAGGGGCACGGTGCAGATGCACAGGCAAACAGGAAAATACCTAGTTGATCTCAGTGTCAGAGCTGCAAGGTGCATCATACCTGCCTGCCGTGCATGAACACCGCTCTAATCTGCAGACGTTCTAAGTAGGCTATTAACCAAGGGGAGAAGTTTACTATGCAGAAAGATGCATTCATTCTGTTACACTTCTGAAAAAAAGAACATGTATTTGTTTCCAATGAAAACTGCTCCTGCAAATCCTTGTGATAACACCGTTGAAATGCTCAATTCTCTATTAACAGTAGAAGTAACCAATAGCAGGAACTACATCAGCGAGACACATGAACGGGGAGTTTTGAGGAAGGAATCTTTTTATTTTTTTTCCCACCCTCTGATGTGGGCATCCTTTTACTCAGGTAGAAACATTGACAGGTAGGTTTTCTTTTGTCTCCATTTTTTGCTCTATTTTTTTTCTTTGAACATCACTGGGCTTTTTCCCCTTCTTTTCTTTCCATGAATCCCTAGTTATTGGATGTTTAGGTGTGAGAGGCCAGCATACTTTTCCATTTGTGTGTCTGGATGAACATATATTCACCATTTCAGAGAGCCTCTTCACTGTCTTGTCTGTCGTAATTTCTCAGAAGTATGAAGCTTTGCAACAGTACCTCTCTGGAGATTTCCTCTCAGAAAACTCTTATGCATAATGTTGCCCCAAACATAAACAAATCTGTTTCCTGTGTATAACATTGGGTGGCAGCAAATGCTCTAAATGACTTCAAAATGAAGTTCAAAAGTGTATTTTTCATGTTTCCAATATGAAAATACCATGTTAAAACTAAGAAAAGCAGTGTTACTTTGGTAACTTTTGGTAAACCACTTGATTTGTGGCAAAGCTTCGATTAATTATCATCAGTAATCATCATTGTGGGGGACATAATGTAATAAATCATGGCTGTTGTCATCTAAGAATTTTATCTTTGGAAAAAAATGCTCAGTGAGAAGCTTTCTATCAGATATGTAGGAGGTGTTTTTAATTAATAGCATTAATTTGTGAAAAGACATGTCTTAAGTGTGTTCCTTCCTTTGCTCAAGGCTCTTAAATGCTCTTTTATCCTCTAAATGAAGGCTGTGTAGTGCCACACACCTAGAACCCTCATTCCCTTGCACTTGCTTTGCTTCTGGTTTGTGAACATTAATGTAGCTTTAAGCAATATTAATATAATGCAGTAAATACCTCTTTCCAAATGTATATTTATTTAGAGTTCTAGAAGCTGGGAAGGCAACCGTATGTTCATCTCAAAATGCAGGCAGAGATATTACTCATATATTCATCGATAATGAAAGTTTTTCTAAAGAAAAACATCTCTTCGAAGCTCAATATTACCCTGTGCAGTATCTAGGAGATTACCTTCTTGAGGTAAGTTAAAGAACATACATAAAATCAATTTTTCATGTCACCTTTCCTGATAAATATACAGCATTAATGGTTGAAAAGAATACAGTCTACCTGGGTGATTTGTTTAGTTGATTTAGTTAAAAATTAAAGTTTTCTAATAGAAGAAAATGTCTCTCCTAATGCAGCATTTTGGTTGAGACTAGTAGATATAACATCTTCCTCTTTGTACTCATCCTTGTTTTTCACAGCTGCATTCTTGCTTCCAAAACTGGTATAGAAGATGATATAAAAAAAAATTTAAATCTCTGTATTCCACTTCTGACTACAGAAGACTTCATAACTGTTGTGCAGTTGTCAGTGCTTTACTTGCACCTTTACAATTTGGGACATTGACTTCTGGTTGAAGAATCTGAATATTGATACAGTTCAGTAAGGACAACCTACCCATATTTTATGCTAACAAGTAAAGGAACCTCATTCCAGTCAACTCTAAAGATATCTCTATGGGAATGGGAATATACTTGTCATAAGATCTATCAGTTGTTCATAAACTTGTGCACCAAACCACCACTTTATGGACTGACTAGAAGCTTATGCGACAGACACAGGTTCCACTGAACTGTAAACCAGACAGCCTTTGTTTTTACCATAACATGTGTTGAATTTCCAACTCTTCCAATTGTTTTGTGAAAATCAAAAAAATGATTGTTATTCAAACCACAACTGTGATGCAGTGGAAGGTGTCTTTCCTTTGTGGCTACTAGGAGCTATAGCTGACCAAGCAGGAGAATCAGATGTACTATGCAGATTTAATGATAAGCTTCAGGGCATTTTGACCTGGCCATACTCAAAGGACTTGGGAGATCAGCTGCTACATAGAGAATGTTACTTGTGTGATCAAGCAGGAATTAAAGCCTGGGTTACTAGAAGTAACACAGCTTAAAATCCTTTGTATTTTCCAGATCCAGAATGCAGAGAAAATTTACCTCTGCATTTTGATGATCAGTAAAGCTGCTGCGAAAAGGTGAAAGAGGATATTGAAAGGTTTTAGCATTTACATCCTGAATAAATAATACATGTCAACATGAGATCTCAGCCTAGTACTTACTCTCTTAATGAAACTTCTTCATGGAAACTATTTCCTATATCACCTTTCAGCTAAGACAGACATCATATAATGCTCAATAGAGGAATGAGTATCAAGTATTTATGGCTACTTCACCTTTTTCTGATCTCCATGAGGATAAAGTGTTTCTAGTTTTGCACCCTGGCGTGATAACAGCATTCTGTCTTAACCTGCACATAAGCTTGCATAGATCTTTTCTTTTTAGACTTATTCCTAGACTTTACTAACTAGTTCACTTTAGAGGTCAGGAGAGCTTCAGCTTTCCATTCAGATGCATCTAAAGAATTCAGAAAACTGCCAAGAAGCTTGGTCTCTTACCAGGAGAAAAATAAAGCATAAGCAATCAAATCACAACATTTGTCTAAACATATTAGACTTTATCAACAGATAAACACATTATGAATACACTTACCTATCTTTCTCCAGGAAGTACTTGGCACATATTTCATCAGGACATAACTTAGAATGCTCCAACTTTGTAAATCTGTAGAGCTGCTACTGGACTGCTCCTTTTAGCAGAAATACATACCCTCCTCTCTTCAACATACATCCACACACAGCATCTCCTAAGGCTTTGTTTCCAAATCAGGTCTAGAATTGAGCAACACGGTGTTATTCATTATTTCAGTAGAGCTACTTTCATACTATTTTTTTTTTAATGAATACAGTGCTTCAAAATTGTTTTTCAATAACTGTTCATGTAATTTCAAAGTCTTAACTTCCTTAGTTAAAATACTTTGAGAGATTGTCATTAATGACCTTGATCTGTAAGATGTTAACACACATGCATGATTTTAGGGAGTTATTCTGAAATTTAACACAGACTTCAAATACTTTTCTGAGTACATGCTGGAATTTATAACATTTTGGCAAGATGGTACTGGTATCGTCTGTATTGTTTCAATGTCAGTATTTTTACAAGGATGTTGAAGTGCCACAAAAAGTAAAGACTACTTAATGCCTCAGAGTAGAACTTCTGTCCTACCTCAGTAGGAGTTTAGTCATCCTTGGCTCATCAAAAGCTAGTTAGAGCTCTTCTCAAATTACCTAAAGCATTTATTACATTTCTGTAATGTGCAACAAACATGTTATTTGTTTAAAAAGGTATCATTATCCATATGCCAAATACTTTTGTTTTGATTGCACACTTAAGGGAACATCTGAGTATAGAATGAAATATGTGCAGCTTTTGAAGCTTTCCACTGAAAGTCTTTTAAAGGTATAAAATGTTTGTGGCTTGCTTCTCAGTACACCACCACCGTGCTTAATTCCTACTCTTGTTCTCCATGTAGTACTTAGGTACCCCATTGGATTCAGATTCTTGAAGTAGAATGGCCAAGAGCCACCCCAAGCAAATTTATTCCACTGGGGTTGTAAAAAGTCCTTCCACACCTGCTCCAAAGAAAAAAATGGCCATCAGTACAGTGACGAAGAGGGATCTGTCAGCAATTTATACAATCCTACTGATGACATTTTCCACTTCATGAGGAGGCTATTTTTTATGTGTATTTATCTAAAACAGTGGTGATGCTTCATTCTTGATCTGTGTACGTATGAGGAAAAAAAATATGTTGGACATTACCAAAATGCATTGTTCTGATAACCTTAAATATTTTTAAACACCAATTGTAGTTACTTTTTAATACGAAAAATTACCTTCTGGCTTTGCTGAGAATCTTCTGTATGGAAGTGGGTCTGGTGCCACTCTGAATCACAGAGAAATACTTGCTCATTCCCTGTGCTGAAGAAAGAACCAGAAATGATAGGTGAATTTAGTGATTAAACTTGTAAGATTTAAATACTAGTCTTGTTCATTCTTATATACAACAACTGAAAGGATTTCATTGCCATGCCTTTTATGAAACGAGAGACTGGTCTTAGTTAACTTCATGAAAAACTGTATTTAAAAAAATCCTTAAACTTTCTTCTGATTGAAAATATGTGGCATTGGGTTTAGCTTTCTAAAGTCCAAAGAACATAGACATTATGGAAACTCAGCTTGCATTTCAGTCACAGAGATTGGGCCAGGCTTGGAGGCAATTAGAGAAATAAATATGGGGAAGCTCATACTGAGGATGCCCGTGCTATAACTACCTACAACATGAATGATTTGTTTCCACAGCTGTTTTTTCTGGCGTGTAATGTCGACTCTTGAAAAACACATAAGCATGCATGTGCACTCTGGAGTTTACAACAGGGCATATGTAAAGACTTGAGCACATAAAGCCATTTTTAGAGCATTAATTCTCTCTGCATTTTAATTAAAAAATAATGATTTTGTTTTGTTTTTTGTAGAAAGAAATACGAAATACGGAAGTTATCCAAATGAATCATTTTCCAGCTCTACAGGAGACTAAACAAATCATTCCTAACATGCAGCTTGCTGAAATGAAAAATGCTGTGATAAAACATATGTATTTTGCTCAGGTAGGTAACAATTAGTTACACTTTCTTAGCACAAAATATAAAATACATATGATTTATCTTTCCATATAGATGCTGGATTTTTTTTTTTTAATCGTAAAAATGCCTTCTAGCCTGCAGTGTTTAATAATACCCCGTTGGGATAGGCATGGGCATGACATGATGGACCACTTGAAATTTCATTGTGATATATGTAATAATTGCTAGTATTGTCCAATAAAATGTTATATCAGATTATAGTCTTTCAATGACATGTCTGTTATCTACCTGAATTGTACTAACAAGTTAAGCAAACCTACCATATCCTACAGCAAGCAAACTTTTTTGTTGATTTTTTAAAAATTATTATTACACATAAAAATAAAATGCAGTCTTTAATTTTAGCGTAGACACTATCTCTGATCATGGTAAACACAGTACATTAACAACAGAAAGCATTAGCTCCTATCTGCGAAGAGAACAATGAATTGCTTGGAGTCCTGCATGTTACCTCTGCGTGCTACACTGACTCCAAATGATACCTAAGTACTTTTGTAGGAGCTCACTTGAAGAGAAGAACATGGGATTTTGTAACTGCAAAATATATAGTATATTACACTCAGTATATAGTGCTTGAAAGCAAAATTGATGAGTTGAAGGCCCAAGCTGCTTAAATATGCACCCTCAAATACTCTGAGTTTTACCAGTAATATTTTATCAAAACCCTCCAAACCTTTAAAACATAAATGTATCCTTAACTTCTTATATATTGTTCAAACAAAAGGTGCAGCACTTAGCAGATTGTTTTTCCCTCAAACTATTATATGGATCTGAGCAGAAGGACATGAGCAGGAGAAACATAATCCTCAGGACAAACTCTGCTAAAAGACTCCTAAAGTAGTAATAACATTTTTTTGCATCTACTGCCATATTTTCAGGTCTTAGTCAGCTTTCAAGGTGCGTCCAAAATTTGTATTTTGTCACAGAAAAAATCGAAAGAATAAAAACACATTTATTTGAGAGGACAAAAACTAAAAAAATTGTTATTGTGCAACAACTGCTTAAACAAGAAGAAAAAAATAATAGGAAAAATAAGGAGGAGAAAGATTGCCTATATTATTTTCCTTTTAGGTCACTATTTCTCTATTTCATTGTTTTGTGATCTAAATATTAAAAAGGAAATTATAAATAGACTTATGCAGATTTATTTGCTTGAGTCATGCTTATAAATTAATATTTTTTAATTGTCTGTTGGTATGCCTTGTACAATTTGACTTTATCCTGTTTTACAGACTGTTAAATATAAGTCTACCCAAATAGGCCAGCTGAATGAATGCAATCCAAAGGTAAGGATTCTTGCAAAGAGAGCAAGTTGTGTGCAAGGAATTTTACCCCGAGGTTAGAAAAACACACCTTTACCGTGAAATTACTTATCAAATAAACATTAAAAATATTTAGATTATGCCCTCAAACTAGTAAAATTATTGAAGAGATAAATAGAACTTCATTGGAATATTGGGTGTATGTCAAGATTTGGTCTTTCTCACAGTGCTTTCAGTACTGTCCTGTTTATCTTGAAAAAACTTTTTAGTACTACTGCTTATCAGATCTTTACCTGGTACTGTTAGAAGAAACAAATACGGCCTGATATGACCTACAGCATCTGAAATTATTCAAGCACTGTATTTTTGCAGCAGCAATGAAGGAGAAACGTGTACTGCTTCTTGCAGTACTCATGCGTTTTTGCTAGCAGAGTCAAACTTTCAGCTGAGATTGTTTCAGAACAGAAAAAAACCAATACCTATTCTTACAAGCCTGAGCTTTAAATATCATCAGGCAGGCTAGAGAGTGCACTGAAGCAAGTATATTTTCCAGTCCTTTCTTGTGGTTGCTTTGATTTAGTTGAATTTTTCTAAAGTACTTAGTTCATTTCTCATTTTTCTTACTATTAAGCCAGTTAGTTGTATGGCCTAAATCAGTTATAGGTCAATACCAATTCTTTGTAAGGAAACCAAGTAGGCAAAGCTGAGATGGAGCTCATTCTCTGAGAGACTTTGATTCTCTGTAGGCTTCAGCCTACTGCAAAGTAGCTAGGTTTCAACCAGAAGTTACCAGGCACTATGCTGTGGTAGTGCTATGGTTGCAAGTGGCTTGCACCTCTTGGCTTCAGCTTGGTCCTGGACTGGAGGAGAGAGGTGAATAGCAATGTAGTTGAGAAGAACATCTTCAGCAGCCCCTCTTGCATATCAGTAATCTCCAGAAAGAAAGGCTTGGAAAGCTGAAAGTACAGATGGTGATAGGGAAATTGCAGGACTGCTCTAGCATTTCTTGAAAGCTGTTAGATTCTCATGGGTCCTCTGATAGCTTAAATGTTAAGTGAAATGTTTTGCTGTCATGAATGGCAGAGTAAGAGGGGAGCTCTGTGCCACTGAGAAGCTCTTTAGAGCTCTGAAATACACTGGGATCAGTACGTCCACTCTCTAGCATTAGCAGCTTCTCTGATATTCTGTATAGGAGCAAGAGTGCTAGGGAGATAAAGCAGTTATATGGTTTATAGATCTCTTACCAACATCTTATAAATTTCACAGTTTTTATTTGTATTGCGTTTTTATTAAACTGTGCTCTTGCTTACAAACATATTTCATTTTTTAGGTTAAAAACACTGACCTGTCTAGAGGTTCACTTTGTGTACTTGAAGGACTAGTAGAAGAGTATTTCTTTCCTGATGTAATCAGTGAACTTGCAGCTGGCCAGAAGTACTGTATACCACCTGTGCAGCTTCTTCATTCACTTCTAGAGCACGTGTTGTTGGTGAGATCTGCGGGCTTAACTGCTACAAATATTAAACCAGGAAATGCAAATGTTATAATCTTTGCTCTTATCAGTGTATTTACTGATTCTTTTCAAATGAAGTTTTAACCCTTAACTTCCTGTTCATCAATGTTTTAGCCTTAACGCAGCCAATTCTAAAGGGGAAAATAATATCCTTTCTATTACTTATAAGCCATAGGAATGTAGTGCTCTAAATATTATTAAACAGCCAGCCTGGAATTCTTTCTGCTGCTTGGAGAACAGCAAGTGGGTGAGACTCTTCTTTTTTTTAAGCTAGTAGGCCACCAATACTGCATTCAGTTCAAGGTTTGTTTTAAGCATTGATGCTGGAATACTACAGTAATGCAAGCTGCGTGTGTTTGTATTCCTTCTTATGGAAATTCTGAGTTTTGCTGCTTCTCGTTCTGCATTAAATTGCATGCTACTTAACTGATCACAATTAAATTTTGTCACTTAGGATTATGAGGAATGAAGAAAATGTGTAAATTCTTAGTGATCATGGATCGCTGGCTAATATGGAGCCAATATTATTTTCTCATTTTATTACAGGGAAACACTGATGCAATATTTTCTGCTAAACTTCTTCACATTTTGTACCTTGTTCTCCACCTTGATCCTCCTTGGAAGTCCCCTTCTGTCTTAAGGTATTATTTGGACCTTCTTCAGTGTCCTGTTTGTAAGAAAGGTACATGGTCCTTGGTAGAGATGCTTGTAAGGTAAGAACATTTAATGAGGATAAGTGCTATTTTATTTCAATTGGGGGGGTGGGGAGGATAGTTGGAAGTCTGTTGTATTTAAGTCACTTTTTCATCTATATAGCTTAACTGCACATGAAGGTCTAGTTGTGCAGTTGGTCTGGACCAATGGGTCCAGAATGGACTGGACCTTGCACTAGATGTTTCACTAGATGTTTCACTTTGGCACGCAGGTAGAGAAAAAATGCATTTGCTTCTTCTCTAGTCCTTCCTTGTATAATGTTTATTTTTGTTATGCTTTTCACAAATTAGAATAATTTATATACTAGTTAAAGAAAGGGCTCCACCTCTCTGTCTGTCTATATGTGTCTTTCTACAGTTGTGAAACTGCTTTTAATTTTATCTTGCCAAACATGAAGCTTCATGTTGTATTTTTATTTTAGTCATAAATTTACAGGCTTGTTCAGCAAGTCTTATTAAATTCTGTGCATCTACAAATATAACAGTCTGCCATACATAAATTGTTTGGGTTGCTTCTGCGTTCTTTACCTTGGGATTTTTTTTTTTTTTTTTGACTTCCTTGACTTCCTTGAACAGAAATTAATTCATATTACCTCACCTTACATGATATTTAAATACTTGGATATAACAGTGACTACAAATATATGATTGCAAAAATGCCCTTAGTCTTGAATCATTGCAATTGAACATTTAATCATTTTGATTAGGAACATGTCACAAGCCACTTGAATGAGAAATAATTTATCATATATATTAAGCTCTTAATAGAACTTCCTAGCAGAATATGAATACCCTGCAATTGTGTACTTGCTCTTTTTTTTTTGTATGTGTTCCTTCCAAGAATCAAAATTCCATTCAAAAATATATTCTGCGCTTCAAAGTCATCTGCATCATGTTAGACAGTCATTTGATTTGATCGAAACCTGTATCTTGTTAAGCATTAGCTGTGTGAACTGCTGTTTAAAGGAGTTACAACATAGTTTATAGTACTAGAGTACCTTGTAATGACAGGATTTTTACAAGGTACTGTTAAATTCAGAAATTATGATAGTAACTCATGTAAAGAAAATAATTAAGTTCACACTATTATCAAAATATGTCCCCATACCCAAAAGCCCCCATTTCAAACACATTATTATTTTTCCCTTAAAATTTGACTTTAAAACTATGAACTTGTCTTTAAAATGATGAATCTTGTTGTGGAGCAAGATATTTACTTGTCCAAATTGACAAAAAGTAGAAACTACCCTTCTTTTCTGGTAAATCAGAATATTATTTCAATCATAGAAATGGATTTTTTGTGTGTGTTTATTTTTCAGGTCCTGCCTTTATTGTAAAACCATTTGTCATGCTGTCTCAGGTTCAGAAAAAGCAGATAACCAGAGGATAGTTCACAAAACATTATTGAAGTTTTTCTTGGATTTAGTAAAAGCTGAAGTAGAGTTTCTGACAGTAAGGTGGGTTTTATAGGATAATTCTTTCTTATTACTTTCCACAATTTCACATGCACTTCTGTATCTGCAGCAGGTTGTATCCCTATTTTAGTACCTCCCTATGGTTCTCACAAACATGTATTTGCTTAGAAATTCCTTCTGGATTTCTTTATTCTCAGCTTGCTAACTCCAATTTGTATTTTTTTTCCTAATTATCTTTTAAGGTCTCTAGCTTTTCATAACTGACTATTTGATTATAATACAAGCTTCAGTATACATTTATTTTTTCTCATAATGTTGCATTTTTGACTTCAGAATGATTCAGTTTTCATTTTAGACAAGGGGGAGTTTGAACCTACAGATATTTTTAAAAAAATCAATTAAACGTTATTTTTTACTAGGGAGATAATTATCTTTAGTTTATGAAGTACAAAAAAAATCTTGTTTTTGCTCTGCCTCTATTTTATATAATGTTAGCACAATATTAGAATTCCTGCAGTTCGACTGTAATAGTCATCATTATTGCACTTATTATTCATCAGAAATTGTGTCTGATCTTTCTCTACTTAAAATTGCCAAACCTTTGTGTGTTTTGACAGAAGACAAGGTTCCTGTCTAGTAACTATCGTAATCAAAGTGGCACGAAGATTCAGGCTTTTTCACTCTCCTATTTTACAGTTTGTTTGAAGGGGCCAATTCACAGCATCAGCAAGTCATGCCACAGACAGTTCTTCTGAAGACCTTTTGGCTGGGAAGCGAAACCTCGGTGCTTTTTACCAAACACATAAATATTTTAGCAGATTGGGTCGTACTTTCCCATAAAGAAATGAATAGAACAAATGATGTGAGTATGAATTTTAGGCTATAAAATAATGAAGACCAACATATTTTTTAAAAGGCCTTCCTTTGTTCGTTTCTTTGTGAGGTATTACATGCAAGTACTGCAGCTGCTTGTTATAGCTGCCTTTTGTTGTGAAGCATGCTGGGTTTTGCTCCACTAAAGGAAATGAATTGATCCATAAGATTCTCATATTGATCTGCAGAGAAGAAACGAACTGGAGTCACGAGTAGCTTGGTGGCTACATTCAGATGTTCACATGCCCTTACCAGCAGGTGTTACTGTAGTCATTAGGGACACAAGTTTAACACATCGTGTCGAACAATAAGGTGTAACAGATGATTATCTTGTTTTACAATGACTGTATTCAGGAAATGTGGGAAAGAGAAAGCTAACAAAACAAATTTTGTTGTTCTCTACAGCCATGCGTAATTTTATTTTAGCAATTGCCCCAGTTTTCTTCCCAAGTCTTTTAGCTTCGCTTGTTATCTTCCCTAGATCTTTTCATAAAAATGGAATTGGAGGCAACTTAATTGCTGTTCTGTGACCTGCTGACCAGCAGGACATTGACCTGAAAGATACCCAGTGTCCTCTATACCACCTCTTTCTTTTCAGAAACTAGAGGCCTTCTAAAACATCTTTGACTTCTAGATTCTCACATAAATCACAAACTTACTGCTGTTTCTCCTTTCTCTTTCAAATTATTGTGAAAGCACAGAATAAATAGGTACCTCATTCACTTTTTCAATACAGCAGCAGAACAACAATAGAAAATCAAGTATTCCTGAGAAAAAAGCACTTTGGGTATAATGCTAGTTCTTCATTATGTTAAGAAAGCAGAAAGATTAAACATAATGGCAGCTTCGCTCATTTTACCTAGCCAGACCTCCTACCTTTTTTGAGGGATATCAAAGGAAGCCATACTGAAACAGTGCTGCCTTTTATCCTTGGTCAAGATATTTAAAAAGTACCTAAAATTAGGCTTCTAAACCCATATTTATATTTAAACAACCTACCTTTTCCGAGATACTGAGCACCAAGCAGGTTTATATTCAGCTGATTTCCATGGCCATTCATCTTCTTTGGAAAATGAGGCTGCTTTCATGGGTTTCCTGGTATTGAGTCTGCAGTTTAAATTTGGGCACCATTTAATTTTTCCTATCATGCCTTCTTTTGACAAGTTCCAGCACTGTCGACCATACTCATTTCACGTACTGTTCTTGACATAAGCAGAATAATATGAAAAATAAACTTTAAGAAAAAGTAAAACACAGCATAAAATATGCAGAAACGTACCTCACCTTTAGAGTTTTTATATATACAAATAAATATATACATGTCCATGTTTATGCATATATATAAAAAAATGGTCCCTTCAGCAGAAACCCTAGATTCCTTTGGTTTTTCTGGTTTCTGCTTATGTGCTATAATGTATAATATCCTCACAGGTATGACTTCTGGCCTTAAAATGGAGCTGATAAGGTCTGTTATTTTGTACAGTCTTTCTTGCAACGTTCTTCTTTAGCTTCATATTTATACAGTACAATTTTTGGCAAAAGTAAACTCCAAAATGAAACACACACCATATTTTTGCCAAAACTTGCCACTCTTCCTTTCTGCACTCTTAATTTTGATATACTAAAAGTTGAAATACTGATTTCCCTTCAGTGCATATTGAGACACACAGTTTAACATTCCTTGGCATAACTGAGGTCCTTAAAAAGCCACAGGATTAGATCCTGCCCAGCCACGTAGACAGAATTTTTTAAAAAATATTTTGGAGATACCTAAGTAAAAGCAGAGTATTTCTATGCCATTAAGTGTGGCAAAATGGATGCAAAATTTTCCTTCCTTTCTTCAATTCAAGTTTATGATGAATTGTTACCAGCTTGGCTGTTTAAAAGCTGTTTGCTTACGAAGCAGAACATTGCCAATATGCACATACTGCCTCTCAGAAGGTGATTTAAAGGAGCTACTCGGCCATTGCCACTGTCTATACAGGGACGGAAATAAAGCAGCTGGTAGTAGCAGTGTGTAAGGAGATGTCCAAGTCTCCCAGCTTACAGAAGCTTAACGTGTGGGAGACCACAAATACCTTAAATGATCTGTGAATAAAAATTGAAAAATAATTCCTTGAAATGCTTTTTCAGGCATATCTAACACATTCTCCTCTAAGTGATAAAAGCGAGCAATTTTTATTTTAGCTACTTAGAATCAGATGTTTTCTCCTTTTCTATGAATAAAATAACATAGAAATGTAAAAGACAGCAAGACAGAAACAGTTGTATTGTCCTAACTTAGAAGCTCCATGGTGAAATGGTGAACTAGGTTAATTAGTTTTGCTGGCTTAAATGTTTGTTTTCAGATCTATAATAACCTGTATCAAAAAAAAAAATAAAAAATAAAGAATGAAGAAACATAAGGAAATAGTTACATATCTGGGTGCATTTGCTTTCTTGTGCTATACAGGGTTTACTGTATTTTGAAAGCACCAAAATAAAACTAGTGACAGGAAATTGGAAGCCCTCAGTCATCACGGTGTTGATCTGATGGGACAACTTAGTGTGATAATATTGATACACTAGCCTTGTAGTTAAAAGTGTACTGCCAAAGGACCTGGTAGCTTTTCCATCACTTGAACTCTTTCAATCAATTTCAAATATAATTCTAAAATAAATGGTATAGCTCCAAAGTAAAGAATAGATTTGATACGAAACGCCTCATCAAGGTTCCTTGAATGAAAGCTCTTTAGATGCTTTAGTTTAGATGCACAAAGGAACAAAGAGGTTTTTTGATTTGTAATTGTTTGTGTAGCATTCACTTACTAAATGGCTTTTCACATGATACTACATCCCCACATAGCCAATAGCAGGAGTAATTTTAATCCCAATAATACGGTTCGATGTTTGATATTTAATGATGCTCATGATGTAACTAGAGCAGCCTTACACAGCATTAGGAAGGGGAGAGAAAGGGCTTCATTGCATGTTTTATTTCAATCTTTTTTGCAAGGATGCTATGTGGCACTTGAGGAGTACAACATTGTCCCAAAAATATTGCTTATACCACGTGCAAAAGGAAAAAAAAAGACAAAAGGTGTGCCCTGTAATTCAAACCCAGAAAGTTAAAATGAACTTTCCTGCAAGTTAAATGCTTTCTTTTGAGACCTTTCATGTGCAGTAAAACAAACTGTGAAACTCCTATCACCGGAGCACTGTGCTTGAGAAAAGAGCCCCTGTACTGAAAGGGCCCTGTAGGAGCTGGGCAGGCTGAGCTGGCAGGCGGCAGCTGCCCAGCCCTCGCACGGCAGCACAGCCCACGGGCACTGCTCATGCCGGGGCGCCTTCCCGGGACAGCGCTTCCCTTCTCCACAAAAAGGAGGAGGAAGAGATTTTGAAAAAAAAGAAAAAAGTGGTAAATTAGATTCCAGTTATTTTGTTATGATTGAGTAGTGTTCGAAAGAATAATTATGCATTAAAAAAATCATGCAGAAAGTACTGCATTTTATAGTAATGCAGTGTTTTTTAGTTTTAAAAATACATTATGGGGAGGATGAGTAGGAGAATTGAATGGTTTCTTAATGTAGCTGCAAGAATCATGTTGAACTTTGCTGTCTTATAAAGAAACAATATTTTAAAACTCTATTAGCTCTGTACCACATTTAGGTAAAGATTAGTTATAGTAGTAGACCTAAGGGACAAAATCAGTAGTTTCTGAATATTCTCAATTTTAGTTGATTGAAGTAGCATGTATCAGTGACTAATAGTCTGACAACTTATCTAAATAACAGTGTAAATAAAAACCTCTCTCTCTTTTTAAATAGATTTCTACTTAATCTGAAATTGCATGTGCTAATAAAGCCACTCATGTCATTTATATGAGTAATTTATTATTTCATATCTGGGAATAAAAGTATTGTTTTTATGTGTGTACAAAAAATAAACTAGCTCTTGTAATTTTTTTTATTACTGATTGACATTCACAGATTACTTAGCCTTTTAAGACTTTATTTTTAAAATCTAACAAGTGACTTTTTTTTTCACTTGTTGATATTTTTCATTTTCTTTTGGTCTGTAGTTAAAAGTACTAATTAAATTTTAAAAGAAAATACAGCTGTAAACTGGAAAGCAGTAGAGTTGAAAAAACAGAAGAGTTTTCTTTTTAAAGTTTTAACCTCTTCATTTGAACAGCAGGAGCTATTTCTGTGCATAGTGTTGTTTAGTGAGACATGGTAGCAATTCCCATGCTCAGTGGAAGAGACTTCATTATATTCCATTCCTATGTTTCTATTATTTTGTGTTTGAAAAAATAAATACGGTAATATTTTTAAGATAGATAACACTTTCCATAAATTAGAGCAGTTTCCCCGGTGAGTAACACTGAGTCATTTATTCCAGGATATTAAGGAGAAGCTCTTGTTGATACTGCTGTTGTTTAAGCCTAATGTCAACCAACCGAGCCTATGCCAGTTGGCATTATCTGGGCTCTCCTTGTCAGTGCATAGAGAGACTCAGCTCAGACGTAGTTGCAGCTTGGGCATCAGCCAGATCTGGTCTGCAGCTCTACTGCTGACTTGGAGGAACATCATTCATGTATTAGCAGTAGCTACTTCAATCTAATGCCTCAAGGTCAGGGTTTTTCTTTTTCTCCCCTTCCTTGTATCTGATGTCATAGATCAAATAAGACAATCTGGTGCTTGAAAACCAAGAAAGAAAAGTTTTAACAGGTGGGCTCCACATCTGTATCTACCTCAGAACATCTATATATGTGACTGCGAGTATATATATTTGACTGGAAATCTCTGTTAAAATTCTCATTTGCTGCATTTGTATGAATTGCTTACTTCTGAAAGGATCTTAAACATCATCTAGGCTATCCTGTTCACAGCCATTCCTAACAGATGTCTATCCAGCCAGTTCCTAAACCCCCTCAGTGATGGAGGTTCCAGAGCCTGTCTGGGAAAGCTCTCGGCAGTGCCCTTATTCCTTTCCCTTTGAATGACCAGAAAGTCCATAGCTGCTGTTAAGTATACGGACACTGTTTATGCAGGCTTTCCCCAAATGGTTTTGGAGGCTTTCTCTAATAAATCTCAACTTGTGCCATGGCCTCTGTTGCTCTTATATATGTCTATTTGATTTATTAATGAAACTCAAACTAGTTCAGTCACTGGTGCTTCTCCGTTCCTGGGGGAATCCTATTAAACTACTTTAAACTGATCTTTGAACATATTTTGGTCTCAAAGGAATATAAGAAAAATAATTCATTGTGGTATTACAGCACAACAAAAGACAGAACAGTTCTGTTTCTTAAGTAATACTTTTCAACTTGAGATTTTAAAGAAAGTACTTACTCCCATGTTTGTCTCTTGTCCAAAATTTTCCATTGTCCAATATGCCCGGGCATACATTGTCTTCTACAGGAACACGTGAAGCAGGATTTAGCAGGACGTTCTAGTAGAACGTGAGGGGATGGTTTTTGGAGCTGCATTCTGCATATAGCCACGGTGCATACACATATTGCCCCAGGTTATTCTTCTTTCACAGTTACATAAACACACCGTGACTTTACTACATGGTCAGGGGAGTAACTTGCTTCAGAGTCATTGCATAGAGTATTTCAACGTGGGTCACTGAAGTGGTGCGTGGAGAGAGCCGACTTATCTTTGAAATGACTATCCCCCAGCGCAAGCAGTGGGGCTCTACCCAGGCTCCGTTAAGTGAATTACTCGTGCAGGTGAACGAATGTTGTGTGTCTGCTATCTCACTGTGCTTGCTGGATAGCCTGTTAGAGAGCTGTGTATTGGCCTGTTAGCGCCTTAAGAAAATTTAAGTGTGTGTGTTTCCAGATAATTTGTATTTCTGCAGTGCCAAATCTTGGTGGTTGTGGCATCAATGGCATATGAATTTTACTGATCAGGATGCAACAGTTAGCTCTTGAGCGGGAAAACAAACAAACAAACAAACAAAGCCAATGAAGAAATGATTTGGCAATTGATGGGACTTTGTAGATATTCCTTAATATTATTGCTAAGATACCATCAATGTGAATTTGTTACGTAATACCAGTCTATAAATGCTCTTTTTCTTCCTTTTAGGCTTTGAGATGTGAAATAGCTAATCTGTTAAGTGCAATTCTTGGAACTGTGGTGGAATACTGGATCCTCTCAGGTTTCCTTATGGACAGAAATGTCTTTTTTCAAGTAGCTGATTTGGCGCATTACATTGACATTTCATGTGATGGTGAGTGTTCAAAAGGTTTTGAGATGCTTTTTAATCAGATTCACTAAAGTCCTAACTAAAATCCTTTACTTACAGTCAAGTCATATCTTACCTTCTGTTGTAGCTGTGGAGTCTCATAGAGTGATGTGCATTCATCTAAGGAACCGTGTCTTATCTTCTGTGTGTCTGTGCCTCTGTCTCAAGCAAATTCCAAGCAGAACAAGCCTTCCTTTTAACGTTCAGCTAAACAAATCTTAACAGGTTTTAACATGAAATCAAGATGACACAGTGTGAAAAAAGAAAATAGAGGTACTGTGGAGCTTCACATGCAGTTTAGGAAGACACTTAGTCATATCCTAACAGGCCATAACTCCAGAGACACATCTGGAGACACCTGGAATACCTGTTCTCAGATGAGATTCTAGCTTTTCACTCAAACTCAATCATGTTTGTTAAGGTCACTTCAGCACTAAGTCCAAAAGATAACCTCAACTCTTTAACACACACAGCCTTTAAATGGAAACACATCAGGATCTCATTCCAAATCCTTAAATTGCTAGCCAGAGAATATGAGGAGAGGGCATGGAGAGGGGAGAGTGAAACAAATGTCGCATCACTCCCTCCTGCTCATTATATAAGCTAGGTAAAGAGGAGGGCCAGGAGGGCTTCAATCCACCATGGAGCATTTGTTGGGATATCTGTTCTTACAGCAACTAGGAGAAGAGAAAACTAAAAAGACCCCCAACAATGCCTCAAGAAAACTATTAAATGGCTTTTATTTTGTTTTCAAACTTCATTTCCACCAAAGCTGCTTTTTTTTTTTTTTGTAAATATATCTATATACATATATATTGCAAAGTATGGGGAAGACTGTGATTCAGTTATTACACCTCTATGGGTATCTTGGTTTCAGTCGTCATTTTCCCAAGAGACAGGTGCAGGCTTCATGTAAAGAGATGGTAGCTTCACTTACCTGGAAATTTGACAAGAACTGTCCTTAAAACACAAAACTAAGATCTTAGTCTCTAGACAAATACTTGTACTCCAGTCTCACAAAAAGAAAATCATCTGAAACCTTGTCTTCTGCCTTAGATCTTAAAAGGCTTGGAACTGAATATAGCTGAATTATAGCTGAATAGAACCTTTAGTATCTGTAACTATTGCAACCTCTCCAAAGGATTTTCTGGCTTTAAAAGAGTAGGGAAAATCTTGTGTATATTATATATATACGTAGTAAGACTTTCTTACCTGCCTGTTCATGGATGGCAAATGATACTCTTTATGCCATCCTTGAGCCATTCAGAGCATTCACAAGAATAACGATCACAGTCTGGTTATAAAGAATAAAGACTCTTGGACTTGCTGATGATCACTGCCCCTTAGCTCAGTGCACAGCACTCAGAGCCCCCCAGACTATCGCAGAATTATTCTCCTAAGATTCTGCTCAGCTTACAGGGGAAAATCTCTGTACTTTTAAATCTTGTGCTTCTCTTTGAATGGAGGCTATAGAGCAGTTACAGAGGGAGCATTTCTCAGCAGAACAAAATACTCCCTCAGTATAGCAAAGACTTTCCTCATCTTGGCAGACCTTGCTTTCCACCTGTTTCAGTGACTATTTTGACAAAATTCTTTTGCTAAAATCAAAATACAAAGCTCAGCCTAAGAAAAAACAGCCATTCTGTCTCCTTTAAAAAAAAAAAAAAAAAAGCCAGACATTAACCTGACATAGGCCCACTATTTTCTGCAAGCAATAGTCTGTCATATGTATGTATGTGTGTGTGTGTGTGTGTGTGTGTGTGTGTGTGTGTATTTTTTTCTTTTTTCTTTTTTCTTTTTTTTTTTAACAGTATGAAGTAATTCAAAATTCAGAAAGGTGTTGTAATCTGCTTAAGACCCCGTTACAGGTAGAATTATAGATTACCCTGCATTATACCAGTTTCTTTGTTCACATTACTTAAGTTTTATCTGAATTGCATTTGCATTGCTTCAGTTAATTTTAAAGATGCGCTCTCATGTAACTCCTCCCCACCCCTGAATAATTTCATTTCAAAATCATGATGAAACATGTGTATGATTGTATTTAGAGCATTTTTGGAAAGTTCATTAATATAAGCAATGTTTTGCCTTTTAAAAATCTGATGAGCACTTGTTCAGAAACTGCACTCATTACAAGATGATGGCATACTCCAATTTTAAGGCTTTTTTTTCCCCTTTGTTTTTATCCAGACTTTTCCGTACACGAATTAAAAGCATTTGTTTGTTCCATACCATCTCTCTGGCTTCAAATGTTTGTTGCAGAAGCAATTTTAAAAAAAAATTGTTTACAGAGGAATATACCTATTTCTACAGAACCTCTTTCTCTTCAGAAAATAGTAAGTAACTCTTGCACTTCTAAATAACCTAGTGCTCTTAAGTGTGTAACAAGTAATAGATTCATGAATGAATCATAAAAAATATCTCATTTGGTTGTGGTTTGAAGTCACAAGCATCGCATCCATCTTACTCCACGTGTACAAAAACTCTACCACATTTAAATTGCTTTACATGAGATCAGGGTTCAAAACAATGGTAATTTTTTCCTGCCAAATGATCTGTAATACCAGTATGAATTAATCAGTTTACATGCAAATAAGATGAAAAGTCTCAGCGCAAAAATAATCACCTGTGATGTGAATCCTTTATTGCAATATTACGTTTGTAATTAAGGAAAATGCATTGTAATTACATCTGCAATTAAGAAAAATTAGATTATTTACCTGATTTTTTCTTCAGATGTTTTTAAAGGAGTTATTTACTAGTATCCTGCTATGTTAGTTGATGAGGAAATACGTATTATGGAAACTGTGAAAGAAATTCTCAAAAGCCTCACTGCTGGCAGGAGGGAGACCTATCAGCAGTGACATGCCCTAAATTACAGTCGCATTTCAGCAATCTGAACCCCATATGTAACCCCCATCACTGTTTCTCCAAGACCTACAATTCTACAGGTGAAATCAAAGCCAGACAACTTTATACCTTCGTATGTTTTCTAAGCAGAGGCTTCCCCAAATTTTATAGGCACTCATTACGGACAGAGAACATTCACTGTTTATCATACGTGATGTTTAACCACAGCTCAAACAAAAGACTATCAAGTCTTTAAAAGTTTAAAAATAAAACTATACATCTAACATTTAAATGGCAAAACATCCAAAGTAGCAATGGTGAGTTTTGATATTGCCATCACGATCACTCAGTCTCCGCCACAAACTGAATGACGTGGATTACAATTGCCTTTTTCTCCTTCCATACAGTAAATATCAACTGTGAATCAATTTTGCCACCTCTCCTCATGTAGCATCTTGTCAGCTCAGCTTTTCTATGGTGTGCCTAAAGTGCCCCCGTATCCTGCTGGTGATGACACAGCAAGGGCACAAGCCAGGGGCCCCTCACCAGTTGCAAGCAGCTTGCAGATTCTGGTTTGTTAGGTGCTCAAAGCCTTCCTTCTCTTCAGACATGGTGACATGTAAGCAGCTGCCACTTCTGGATCATCAGTGAATGAATCCCCTTACTGGGCTATTTCCTGCGCTTTTGCCAAGCTGGAACAACTTGTATGCCTTTTTAAAAAGAGGGGTGTGAGTGGATTGGAGCCTCTGAATTGCCTGGAAAGAAGCCAAAGGATCTATGCCATGCGTCCGAGGTTATCCGAGCAGCATGAGAGCACCCAGGAGCTTGTTAGCACCCAGCTTGCTTGTTGGCTGCACCGGGCCCACCGGCTATGTCTAGCCCTCATTTTTAGGAGAGTGGCATTTCTTTGCCAAATTGCTCCCTGGGCTTGGAGCAGAAAAGCTGGTAAATATTTCCATTAACTACCTGAGATCAACTAGCTTTGCTGTAGGACTACAGCTGTCCAGATCAAAATTTTCTCAGCTGCCAAAAAATCCCAAGAGAAAGGCCCACAATTTCCTACATTCAGGCTCAAGCAAAGCCCACTCACTTCTGAGGCCGGCATACAAGGGTGAAATATTGAGTAAGGTACATTAAAACATCAATAAGAAAAAGGTTGCAGAAGGTGGCTTTTAACAATCCATATATGCAAACATCATTTAGGGATCATATTTTTAAAGACTCAGACACAGCAAGCTGTGGGTGGCTGGCTTTGTTACATGAAGTACAAGAGAAGAAACTGCATTTTAACTTACCAGGCACACGGTCACTGATAACGTTACTTCTGCAACAGGTCTGTGCCTATTTGCCTGCTTTAGGAGAGATAGGAACGCGTGAGACGAGGAAGATGGAGAAAGCAAAGAGAAGGAAAATAGGGCAGCGGCCGTGCCCCGAGTCTCAGAGGGCATTACTGATGCTAAATGGTGATAAGCAGAACCAAGTCGAAGTGCTGCCTGATCTACCGTGAGTAATACCTATAACATCACCAGTTTTATTCTGCTTTGGGGGACAGCTTCTGACCTGACACATTTTTTGAACTTTATGTGACCTGTTTTGTTGTCTACAAATTACCGAGACTGACAGAAAGCTCCACTATAAACCTGCAACACTTCTGCGCTGGGGCTCCCCTGTATCCCTCATCCTACAGAGATGTGGTCTGATATATTTTCTCAATATTAAATTTAATGGAGATTTATGGATTTACCTTTAAAAAGTTGAGTTGTGGGAAATTTCCTTTCATTAGTGTCTTCAATACAGTTAAAAGGCTCAAAAATGACAAGACATTTCAGAAATAGGTCTGAAATGCATGGATCTGAGTATGACATATACACACACTGTAACAATATTATATATATTATCTTAAAATATAATATATGGGTTTTAGACATGTCCACTTTGCTGTCTTTCCAGCGAGTTATTCTTTAACGAGCGCCCCCCATTAGCAAGAAAGCTTCGAGCAAAAGCAGAGGTGTCACGCACCAAAGAGAACTACCACCCTTTGGCTGAAGAGGTTCATCTTTACAAGACCAATATGAAAGGTATGCTGTTTATCCAGTTCACATTAAGGACCTTAAATGGGCCAAATCAACAGTTTCAGGTTTAGAGATCTCGCCCTTACGGCTGCTGAACTACAACGACTGCCTGCGTGGAGGAAATACTTCCCTCTGGGTCACGTTCCTCCTTTCCGTGTCCGTTTGAAAGGGGGAGCTGTGTATATGGCGGGATGAAGCTGCCTTCCTCACCGCCCTCCCCCTGAGGCAGCAAACACAGCTACAGCTTGTGCCAGCTCCTTCCAGCCCTGCCCGCCTTGCTCTGCTAATCCACCTCAACCTGGGCTCGCTAGGATCAACGTCTTCTGATTTGAAAGTATAATTCGGGCTTCATCTCTTTCAGGCCTAGACATCTCGTGAACAAAGCCTGAGGAGGATGCTGTGTTACGTAGCTGTGTTAAGCATATGGACTGTTTTCTTGCAGGCATTCAGCCCAGACGATGAAAGGCGTTTGGCTTTTGTCTTAGCTATACTGGAACCCAAGTACCTACAGAATAAAACAGTGCTGCAGTAATTCATTTGGGGCCCACTTATTGCACAAATTTAATAAAACATACTTACGTAAGGCTTCCCCTGAGCAGGCTTATTTGCTTGGAACTACTTTTTAATCATCATCATCAGAAATTTGCCTACATCCTTTAAAACACAGCTATATTAACAATGGCACCCATGAGGAGGCGTAGAAAAAAAATGGCAAAAGCAAGCCGTGGTCATTGAAAAAATGAGAATCAGAATTGTGTCACAAACACTGACGGACATAAAACCTCACCCTCTTTGGGGATTTAAGCGAGCTTCAGTAACAGAGCCAGACCATGCATTTTTAAAATTGGTCCCTCTTCTCTGTATTGCTTTTGCAAGTAAAATTGATGTGAATTATTACATGCTGACTTTAGCAAAGAAAAGTGAGCTGAAGGACTAGGGCAAAAAGAAAAAAAAAAAAAAAGAAGAAAAAGCTTTTTTTTCTATTCTTCCCTTGCCAAAATCCTAAGTAGTATCTTCTGCTGAAAAGATGAGGATGGAGCTGACAGATTTACACAGTGAAAGTATTAATATAACAAAATATACCATGTTAATCTTATCACAAAGGCTGAGAGATGTAGCCTAAGATATTTTTCATTGCTGAGATGTTTGGTGCATCATCTTTCACCTGGCATCAAGATTTTCCTCTGGCTCTTGTTCAAACCTAATCACTTAGCGAAAGCAAAATAGCATTTAGAACGGGACTGAAGTTTTTATCATGCAGAGACTAATGGTATCTTTACCTATAAACAGCATTTGTCACTAACTCGCTGTTCAATTTTTCACACTTACTTCAGCTTTATATGATACTAAGACTTGGGATTTTTTTTTTCCCAGAGGATTTTCTCTTCTCTGTCTCTCATTTTTTTTATTAGGACCCCCTCATTTATTTCTCCCTTTCCCCCCTCCCTTCCTACTGTAGCCAAGTGAGGCAGCCTATTGAGAAAGAGCAAACCATCTGTTAACAGATCTGAAGTTCTGAATTATACTTGGGTGTGTAGAGGCACTCGTGCTTAGCCAGAAACATTCATTTGAATTAAGCTATAAACGCTGTGTAAAAAGAACCATACATTTTAACGTGGGTTCATGAATAAATTTAAGGGAGGGCAACTGCACTCTAAAGTTTTATTGCTTCAAAACCCAGTATTTTTGGCGTTCTGTGATCACTCGGGGCTTTTATGGTGTGATTGAAGCTTTAAACCTTGAACTGGGGGGAGATAATTCCTGTGTTAAACCTTTTGCAGCACATTTCATTTCTGGTGGAACAGAAGCTCTGTGGGTTTTTTTTGAATTTTCTTAAAAGATGGTTAAACAGGACAAAGGAAAATCTTACTTATTATTGAATTTTCTGGCACATAGCCAGGTCTCCTAGTTCCATGCACTTTGATTATTTTCTTTAGTTGCTATCTTGCCTAGTCTAGTGTAATCTATTAATTTTTTATGGTAGGAGAGACAGCCCTGCATAAAGCTTGCATAAGAAACAAAGTGGAGAGACTGATTCAGCTTCTCTCTTCCCCTGGAATAGACGTTAATGTTAAAGGTAAGTTCCTTATTTTGTCTACAGAACTTAAAAAAAAAAATTAAGCTAAAAAAGAATTAAGCAGATAGAGCATTTGAAGATAGAGCCATTTGAAAGTAAAGCTTATGCTTGTGAAACATAAACATGAAAATGGCCTTAGTTATTTTAAGCAACCCAAAGTCCGGACTTTAAAGCCAGAATTGACGAAAGGCTAATTTATAATTAGAGCATGCGGTAACGCTCATCACATGTACTGCTGATTTATTACATACATAATATATATTTTCCGAGTGTTTTTCAGCCGGGTTTGCTGCTCCAAATCCCCGCTCGCCCTTGCAACCCCTCGCGCGTATTAGAAAGCAGCGCGGCGGGCGCCGGCGTTGCCGCTTGGGCGCCGCTCCTGCCCGCTGCTCCAACTTACCCGCATGTGTCGCGCAGACCACGGCGGCTGGACGCCGCTGCACGAGGCGTGTAGCCACGGCAGCGCGGCGTGCGTGCGCGAGCTGCTGCGGCGCTGCCCGCGCCTCGACCTGCTCTGCCGCGCGCGCGGCCTCACGCCCCTGCACGACGCGCTGGCAAACGGGCACCTGGACATCGGCAGGATGCTCCTGCGGCACGGCGGTGAGTCCCTGCGCACCCGCCCGTGGGCCTTGCGCGGCTTTGGGGGCTGTTTCTCTGGGGTTTTCTTTCTTTTTCTTTTTTTTTTTTTTTTTTTCTACTTAAAATACAATGTTATGATGGAATATTTATTTTCAAACATTCTTAAGCCAGGCTGTTTTGGTCACAATAAAAATATTACTGTTTTCACACTTATCTTGATCAGCTGAATATGAGCTTAAGCAGGATTTTCACATTTTTCCCCAATATGGTTATGTTTTTATTCTGCATTTTACACCATATGCAACTATATTATCCAAACTCATTAATGAAGATAAAGACTACCTAGGCACCAAGCAGTGCGAAGGATTTTCTTTTGTTTTGATCTATTTTTACCCTCCCTTGCAAAAATAGATCAGCAAATCTCTGTATAATCATGTATTTCAACATAAATTTGTTCAGCATTTATGAAAATTAATGTGATGGTCTTTGAAGAACACAATTAGCTTGGTAATTAGTTTAAGAAGGGACTCTATATTGTAATTGTGATAACCGCTGTTTAGGGATAATAGTGGGAGGGATGCCTTCGTTTCTAAAAAAAGATACATTGCCCCTCAGGCAGACACATGATAAATGTTTTGAACAATATTTTTCCTTCAGTGACAGGGAACATGCATCTTGTCTCGGAATATACTTTAGCAATATAATTAACATAACATTTTTTTTTCTTTTTAAAGAAAGCACCTGCAAAGAATGGACTTGGATATCAACTGCTTCTTTCCATTTACTTAAATTTGTGATATCCTTACTGCTGACCTGCTGTGTCAGTTTAATCTCTGTGCACCATATCTGGAGTCCAGAATTCAAAAAAAAAAAAAAAAAAAGAAAAAAATCCTTCCGCATACAGCCATAAGGCAAAAGAATGCACTGATTTCAGATGGCCTATTACTTAATTAAGCTCCAGAAACAAAATGCTACGGCGTTCTTGGCGGAAGAGGGCCGGAGTTGCAGTCTTCTCCTGCCCCCTAAAGGCTAGTTCTGTGCGTGCCGCACAGGCCCTGGCTCGCGATCCATACAGCCCCCGCGCTCAGTACAGGGCCCTGCGCTCACTACAGGGGCCCCTACACTCCCCACGGGGCCCCTCCAGGTGCCGGAGGTGTCTGCACACCGAGCCACTACCCGAGCTCCCTTCCACGGCTCCGAGCGACGCGGTAGCCCATGCAAGGAGCAAGGCCAGCTCCTCGACTGGGAATGGCATCACCGCCCTGACGGACGAGCGCGTTGCCAGGGCTCTTGTGAGAGCAGGCGATGGATGGATGGATGCTGCTACGCTCCCCAGGGAGCAGCTCTGCTTGCACTGCATCCCGCAGGCTGCTCCGGCGGGGCCGCGGGCTGCGCCTACCCGTGCGCAGGCCTGGCCCACACGCACGGGGCTCGGGCCTGCCGAGCAGCAGACGCTGCATGGGCAGGAAGCCTGCTCCTCGCTCAGCGGGTATTGGCCCGCCTCAGCTCCCCCTGCCCCTCTCGTTACTTTTGGCCCCCTCTTCAGCATGCAAAAGTTACTTATTTTACATAATCAGAGATGGAATGAGACAGCAGTGCCGTAATCTCACTCTAATAATGGGCAATGAGGTGAAATCACTAGCCATGGCATCTGGTGATTAAAATAGATTCTTGAAAATATGCTCAGGTTATCGAATCATTATCATCGCTTTATCAAATCCACATACAATGACTTCTGTTGAATCCTTTTATGAAAACCACCACCTCTAGGATGTGTAACCCCCTTCATGTTTTTCTTACTGAAGTGACATTTCATAAACCTATCCAGACATTTGCAAACTGTTTACATACTAATAGCTCCCTTGTAGTAATAAAAAAGAAATACTGAAGAGAATTTAGCATAATCTGAACAGGTTAAACATTCCCAGTTAATTATTTATTTTAGTGTTTAACTTTTGCATTTCAGCAATTTGCTAAGAACAAATCCTGTAGCTTACTTGTTGAGGGAGACTAGGATTCCTGCCAGAAGAGTTTATCTTGCTTCACGGCCTAGGACAAGGTCAGCTGCACCATCCAGAAAGGAAAAATAAAGATCATCGTAATGAAATACCTGTAACTGGAGTTCCAGCAAATATAACAGCCTGTAAAATGCTTAATAAAATTTGACATCATTTGTACTTTTACATTTTCCATATATTGCTACCTGAAATTTTAGAATAAGACACATTTGAATCTCTTTTCCACTTCTAGATGAATAACGTTTATCTTTCAACCTAGCAAAATCAGTAAGAAAATTAAGGTAAAAATGACAAGGTTCTAAGGGTTCTGTCTCCTTCTTCGAGATGGGTGAGTGGTAAAGATGTGCCCCATCAGTTGCATCAACCTAACTTTGTACGAAAAGGAATTTAAACAGACTCTGAGCTGCTGCCAGAAAAAGCAACCCCAAACCTTGTTCGGCTGCCAAACTGAACGTGCTGTCACTGTCCGTGTTTGTTTTCCCTGCAGGACCAGTGCTTCTGCAGCAGAGGGACTCCGATGGGAAACTGCCACTGGATTATGTGGAGTCTCTGGCAGTAAAACAAGAACTTCTGAATACTGTCCATCCAGAAGAGACCATTGAAAGCTTCTGTGAGCGCACAGAACAAGAGCTCCACCGTCAGCAGATAGAACTGGGCTTAGTTCTCTTTAATAAGATGCTGCTAAATTTTTGTTCAGTTTATAATCTCTCTTCACCTTTTACTTTAGCTCTTGGAGAGACAGCCTGTCCAAATACACTCCCAGTAATGCCTAGTAATGCCTTTAAGTTGAAAAATACTTTTTCTGGTGACTGGTTAGTAGATACATATCTCAGGGAGCTAGAAACCTTTCAGAAGCTTCCACAGTTTCTTCAAGAAATACCTGCCAATGTGCTGGTTTTTCCTGGAGAACAGGTGAAGGCTTTACAGGCAACCCTGGAAACTATGGTGATGGCCAGCAGGCTCTCCGCTTGATATCTTCCCAGCACCTGACTTCCAGGCCAGGGCCCCTGGCTAAGGCTCGACTGCCCCGCACGGGCCCTGGGCAAACAGTATTTTCCCAGCAACTGAGAAAGTGGAAGCTGCACCGAGACCCTCGTAGCAGCTCCTGTGATTTCAGGATTTCCTCTAATGGAACCTGGAAGTGAGATGCACTCATTCAGTGCGTTTTTTTTTTTTTTGGCCCAAACTTCCCCAGTGCCAGTGTCTTCCAGCTGCCAGGCAGAGCTATGTATCCATGCTCACCTCAGGAGGATTCTGTGTCATTTGCACTACGTTAAACTTCCCTTTTCTGTCCTGGAAACCTTCGTTACCACTCCAGTGCCTTACTCCACTTGGGCTTTCAAGGGCAGCAATCCTTAAGTTACCTGATTTTTAATGAGCCACTTTTCCTTACAATTGTATACCTTACAATGGTATTCTATTTTAATAATTTTTCATAAAACTAATGTTCAGAATATCAATAAACGAAACATGGAAAAAACGACATCCGCTTTTTCCCTTATTCTGTCCTTAGGAACGCATCTTGTAAAAGTTAAAAATAGCAACCGAAGTTAGTGCACGTGTTCATCCTCCTGCTTCCCTAGGGATGCTGCAGAGGGCCGGAGCGGCCCCGCGCTGCCCTGGCTGTGCTCCAGCTCGCGCTGCCTTGCGGCACCTCCACACATCCATTCCAGCAGCAACGGGCACAGCCTTGGGCTGGTGATGTTCCTGGGATGCTCCGAAATAGAGAGGCTACTCTTGGGCATATGTTAGCAGGGGAAGCTGCAGTGAATTGGGCAAGCCAGTTCAGACAAGCCGCTGGGCATCGGGTGCTGACACTAAGTTTGGATCTCCTTAAAAATTACTCTGTTTCATATGAGAATTTGGTCCTGCAGCCTGTGGATACACGCAAGCTACACACAATAAATCCTCTGCACTAATCCTGTAACCTAATTCAGGATTGCGTGCTACATACCCTGTCAGATGGTCCCTTTAATCAAGAGAAAGCGGAAATCCTGAGCTGTTCTTAAAGGTCCTGAGGCCGCTGAGCTGAGCAGGACTGCGGCCTGGGAACGGGCAGGGGTTGGGGCTTTGCAGAGCTCCCGCTGCCCGTCCCCACAGCAAGGAGCGCTCGCCTGCCTTGCATCTCCGTGCACATCCCAGGCCAGGCTCGGCGCTGAGGACAGGCAGGCTTCAAGCGGAAAGGAGAAGAAAGCGCTGCTAAAGAATAAGGATTTTTTTTTTTTTTTAATGGATTCAATAATAGATTAGGAATAATTTAAAATCTTAGCCTTCAAAAGGGAAGTACTAATTAGTAACGTTTCCAATTGCAATTCTTCTGTAATAGCAATTTATAATATTTAAAAAAGAGCCTTAAAAGAAAGGGTGTGGATAATAGCTGCTTCTGAAATTGATGTTGCTTGACTAGAGGGAATAAGTTACACTGATGCAGCTGGCTTGCAGCGCATTAAAACTTCCATTTAGCCCTTCTGCAGCTGAGATATATGATCTCATAGCAATTAATCCTCTGAAGATGCTCACACTGGTTTGGTCTTGGAACCAGATCTTCATTACAACTGCTCAGTGTTTATTAACTGACTGATTATTGCTTTTATACATGGACGCAGAACAGCTTGCTCCAATAAAATAAAGGGTCAGCTCATACTGGAGTTGTTTCTGTTTGTGCCCTTCTGATTTTCCACAGCAACAAAATAGCACCCAAAAGCCTCTGTTGTGTGTGAGATGGACTGAAAATGAACTTCAGTTTTCCTTGTTGCAGGACACAATGAAAGAAATGCTGTCTTCATACTTCCTAAGGAATGCAACACGTGCAGATAAAGTGGCAATCTTTGAGTTTTCCTTCATTACGAATTTGATAGATAATTGGGAACTTAAAAATTGAGACTTGGAAAACTACAGCAAGAAACAGTGGATCTGGAAAGGCAAGTGCTTCAGAGTGTTCATATGCTTAATGCAATATATTAGAGATACAAATTAAAGCAACAAAAGCCTATGTCTGATAAAGAAGCGATTTTGTTAAATCCAGATTCTCTACAGCTATTTGCCATAATGCCATTCAGAGAAAAAAAAAAAAAAAGAAGGCATCTATCATTTATAAGTCCTACCGAGCTATTTAAACTCATCTGAAGTACATCTCTCCAAGACACTGTAAAGAACATATGCTAAATGAACATTCCTAACATGGCAAAATTAAACATTCAAAAGTTTGCAAATGTCAGAATTAATATTCCGTGTGTGACACTAACTTAAATATCCAGTGGGTATGCACGGCAAGCCCTTCATTAAACGGTGACACCAGTTTCCCCCAGTGTTCTCACCCTTTGAATAAGGATTATGTATTGAAAAGCTCCCTGACCAGTCCCAAGCCACACATGTTTGAATCCCTATTTGCAGGGAGAGCCTATGAAAGTGATTTGACAGCTCTTTTCCCCAATTTCTGCAGTGGGAAGCCTTCTGAAGGTACCTCTTTCTGTAGCACTCATTTTATTTTATTTTTTCAAAGCAAGCAAGCACCTTGTCAAGAACTGAAGGACAGTTTCGTATTTGAGCTGAAAATTGTTATGAAGCTTCTTACTCAAAGAAAAATAACCCTTTCCTGTATTTCCTAGCTACAGTCTTCACAGAATTCAGAATGATGCATACAGTTTTCTATATATTCAAGGTTGCAAACTCCATACTCTTAACAATCTTAATTTTACATTAATTAAGAGTGCAATATACCTACTTTAACCCAATTTGCCGGGGACAACATGTTCTCTCTCAAAATACCAAGTCTTGCCTTGTAAATCGCAGTAAATCGCAACAAAATCAGATCTGTTAGGAGTCTGCTTTTGCAGATCATCTTTCTTGTTATATAGCCCATTTCTTACCTCCTTAGTTAAAAACAACAAAAAGCAAACTAATCCTCTGCACCATGCACACATTCTTTATACTCTCCTGTTTCACAAGAGCCTAAATTTGACGCCCACCCAACCACAATGTTTTTCCAGGCAGGCATTTTAAGGGATCCTGCAGTCGAAATCCCCACTATCTGCAAGCACTCTGGGAATCTCAGCTTTTCACACGGATCAAGCATGGCCCAGACAGGAGGGTGGGCAGTGGCAGGTGCCACTCCATACCTGGTGGCCACCAAGCAGAAGCTACGAGCACAGTGTCACGCGCTATCACTAAACATCCTGGAGTGCAAAGATACAGCTCAGACGTGAAAACTTGCCAAGAAAAGGTTGTCCGAGACCAAACTTCAGTGTTATTTATTTCCTCTGGCAGTTCATCTCATGTTTGTTACTTCTATATATTGCTCCCTCGTGATATTTAACTACTCCTACAAGTTTGGTAACTACCGAGAGTTTGTGTAGCCTTGAAGGGTGTCCATGCTTGAGCACCTCTCATTGCAACATCCAAGCCTAAAGCGCTCTGAAGGCCCTTCCTGAACCATCTACGACCTTGACTACTGCTCAGCCCCTGCACTCGCTGAGGGCAGGATCACACACGCCTGCACAAACTGCACAGGGTTCACAGCCAGCCTCCCGCTCCACTCCTCTCCCCACACAACCAAGGACCATGCTGAGCCATTTCACCTTGCCATCACACCACGCTCCCACGTGCCCAAGAGAGGCTCCTCGGTGCTTCTTCAGGAAAACTGAACATCCACCTCCCATCTCACATTCCACTAAAAGGCATCTGGGCATATATATTTATCAACCAAATTTGTAATGGGGGAAAAAAAAAAAAAAAAAAAAAAGATTCTGTTTTGCTAGGCAAGTTGTTTTAAGTCAGGACATCACTAGCTAACTATTCTACTACCATATACTAAGCAGTTCTAGCAATGCAAAACTTCTCCTTTTGAGAAGAGACAAGCTGGGAAATACATAGTGGGATTTGCGCTGCAGTGTTAAAGCAGCAGGATTCTAGGAACGCTTTCTGCAGGGACATCTGTGAACCAGCTGTTCTCTGGAGCACGTTAAAACACCTCCAAAAATAGCTGATCAGAAATAATAAAAACCTGCCTAAAGCTCATGATAGCATAAAAAAAAAGGAAAAAACAGACTGTTTTATTGGTCAATAACAACATCAGAAATAAGTATTACCTACCCACTGGCAAAGAAGGGAAGAAAGAGAAGTAGGAAAATACAGTGCAGAATTTACACAGATCCAGTTAAGAACCTGAGAAGAACCCAACTCTTGGGTTCATTTGATACAGTTTTCACTCATCTTCCAGGAGGGCTAATCTGAGCGATGTGGAAACACTCTCAACAGTCTTGAACGCAGTAGAAAGTCAAAATAAAACATGGAAGGCCCAAGCAGCCAGCGCAGGCAAAAGTGCTGACACAGGCAGGTTTGCCTTGGCGGCCTGTCACTTACCAACAGCTGAAGTCTAATTAATCTGCAGTTCTCGCCTTACCTAAACAAGCATGTATTCGTTTGCTAAATGTCACAGGTTTTCAGGGAAACCACGTAAAGAAGACTTCATTCCTGTTTAACTGCCAGCACACCTAAAGCACGTGGTTTTTCATTTAAAACCAGCATAGGTCTCACTAAGATATGTAACTATTTATATCCTGGCTTGGCTACAACCAGTGACGCTCTTGAAAAATGAGGGAGGGCAAAGCTAAGTAGCTGAATGCTTTTTATTTTGTTTTTTTTTAAAGGACATCTCTGTATTTAAAGGAAGTCACATAAAATTGCAATCAAAAAATGTTTAGCTTATTTGTCTATTTGTCTTAGTTGCCCATTTAGCCTTAAAACGTAACATTTGCTCTTTCCCACCAAGGCTGCAAAGCTGATTTTTTTTTTTAAATGAGGTTTTCTCCTGCTCTCCTCTCTATCCTAAAGCCTGTGGGAATCCTCCTCCGAGAGCAAGCAGGACGTGGCAGCTCGCGGTGGACAACCAATCATCCCTGCAAGCTCTTCAAAGCCCCCCTGCTCGGCGCGGGGGACCCGCTATCTGTAACGGCTCTTCAACTACTGAAGGTTGAACTTCATATAGATACCGGGTGGCTTGATGATAATGGATCGTTTCCACAGACCCCTTGCGAGTTTAGGAGTGCTCGTGGAACACGAGGAATTACTTGTTCCCTGATGGGGCTTTTCAAACTCAACACAAAAAAGCAGGGAGGGAACCGATAAGATTAAACGGCGGGTACGGTCATCAAAGGCTCTAGCACAGCTCTA